GGAATTGCAGTTGAGAAAATTCGCACACGAATACTTTGCGATCTGCTTTCTTCTTCGTCTCATTCACAATAATCTGCTCACAAATATTTTTCAGAGCGGTCAATTTACTGGACTTCTCTGCGAATGAAAGCTTTTCATTCAGAATACAAAGAAGCTCATCAAGAGGATCAGTCGAAGCCATGCTTGCTTTGAAGAATAGCTAGCGTGTTATTCACTGAACACAGATCACATCGGTCAGAAGCAGTGGCCAAATGTTGGCCACCGTAGCAAACTGTAGCATTTGCCGGATTTTGATTGGTTTGCTTCGATTGACCGTAGCAAACCAATCAGAATGCCGCATATGCAAATTTTCGCTACGGTCATATTCATTAAGGTTGAATCTGACCGTAGCGAAAATTGACCATATTTGGCGATCAAGTTACAGTATATTTCTGATGGATGCGATTTTGTGCGAGTGAACTGATCTGATATTAATACCCGTTTTTCGGGCGGAAAGGCAGTTTTTCGGGCGGAACGGCAGGTTTCACGCATTCCTTTCCGAAAGGAATATGCCACGGTACGTAAAGAGGTTGAAAACGATCGATTGACCTGAATTAAATAAAATCCTGAAATTGAAAATTTGAATGTAAACAAAATTACATCAATATACTTAAGTAATATTTTTAAATAATTTGACTGAATTTGAAAGTTTTCCTTGGAAAATCTGACCGTAGCATATGCTACAGTTGCAACGGTCTGGATCCGCCACTGGACTCTGAAAATGGATATCCTTGACGATTACGTTTATTCCGTGAAAAGAGACAGAGCAATTCGACATTTTGTACGCGACAATTGACCCCGTTTCATATTCAAATCTGAAACTTGAATCTGAAACTGTAGAGCGGATCGTGCAGTACACCCACAAACAATAAGATATATTCTAAGACTAAGATCATCATAAAATATATAAAAAGAAATACTCACAAAACACAAATTTAATATGCAACAACAGATTCAAAACATCATCTATATTTAATAAAATTGATTTGACACTAGTCTGATCTTCTCGCCTTTTTGTCGCACCTTGCACCTTTTTTCGCGCCTTTTTTTGCGTTTTTTTTTCGCGCTTTTTTCTGCGTCTTGCGCCATTTTTTCGCGCCTTTTTTTCCATGCTGTTTCGCGCTTTTTTTTCGAGATAGTATAGTCCACTGATCTGAAACAGAGATAAGACTGGATAACGCATCTATAGTAAGCAAAAGTGAAGCCGGAAGTCACCGGCCCATCACAGTATGGTAGATTTTCGCGTTTTTTGCCTTGGCTACGTTTCTGACCTGGCCAGTTTTACAATCACAAAGATAGAAGCATACAAGAAGAATTTTGAGCAAAAAATGTGGAGTATATTTATGGCTTTATAACGCCGCGAAACGGGATTTACAACTTTGAAGGAGTGGAGAGCCCACAGAAATAATAGACATATAATGCGTCCCCTTCTATCTTTTCCACTGATCTTTTCTCAGTAAAAAATTTGTCTCCACAAAATGGCGGATTTATAAGGGCATTTTGGCTAATCCCAGACTCCTTCGGCAAGGAATCTCGCGCGGTTGCAGGGAGTGTGCGAATATAATTGGGTTTTTTTTCAACAAAGTTTGTAAAAACAATTTATATATCGAGACTTGAAGTGGAAAAACACTTTTTTTAAGGAGAAAAACCCATTCCAGTGGGTTTTTTACGAAAAGCAATAGTTCTAAACAGAATAAAAACAGAATATATACAGAAATCGTCGTTTGAAAATACATTTTTCAACGATTATTTAAGCGATTTTATACAGTTTATTGACAATTAAATATTTTTGTTTCAAAAACGGCATGAAAACACTTCGTTTATAGATTGAAGAGAAACGAAACCCGAAAGATCATTTCGTAATTTAATAAAATATTAGGAAAGCAGTTATGTTCAGAACAGGCAAAAATGATAGCGCTTAGCCAGTAAAACCTGCAAAAATGGTGCAATACATCCATGATGTAGCAGTAGTAAAACGCCAACTTTGTTTCATATACTTGAGTACGATATTGGTCTGGATGCCTTTTTCCAAACGAAAATGCGAACTCGTTTTAAATTTCGTACCTACTAGCTTGCTGCCTGAATACGTTTCCTCAGTGCGTTTCCTCAGTGCGTTTCCTTATGCAGCGCCAGTCTTCCATCACTCTCTACCACAGTATCTGGCAGATGATTTAGAACGTGTCCAGCAAAGATCATTGGGAATTATATTTAAATGCGAAAAGTATAATAAATGCTTAGAGTATTCCGGGCTAGAAACTTTAGTCAATCGAAGGCAAATGTTATGTTTGAAGCTGTTTGATTCGATAACATCAAACTCAGATCACAAACTTTATAAACTTTTACCCCCAAAGAAGAAGCAGACATATAATCTGAGACACAAACGTTCCTTTAGTTCTCTTTTAGCACGTACTAAGCGTTTCAAGAACACTTTTATACCACATATGTTAAATAGTAAATAATGTCATTTGCACCTTGTATCCTGTCACCAATTGTAAATATTTATATAACCTACACCATTCTTGTACATATTACTGTAAACATCTACGCAATTCAGCTTCAGCTGCAAAGTAGTTTTAATAAAACATCTATCTATCTATCTAACTAGTAATCAAATGACTGCTTCAACTTCAAGCCTTTCCAATTAGGGAATTATAGAGACCTTATACGATTTTAGGACGGCAAGGCGACGACGACGGCCAAAACAAACTCCTTCAAATAAATGGTAGTAAAGATAATTCGTCGTATATTTTTCAATCGTATGAATTTAATACAGTCTTAGAAGTTGAAGACATGGGTTTTGATGGTTGAAAAGAATTCTGCTGAACCCAGTTTGAAGTTGCACTTGTTGTGGCTTGAAATGCAGCCGTTGTATCAAGACGTGAAAATCTGTGATTTGGCGTTGTAAACAGAGCGAGGACAATGACTAAATTATTCATATACTGTAATTACTCAATTATTTTCAATATTTTATTGTATTGGTAGGCGTTGCCGGCGCGTTGCCGTCGTAAATCGCAAGGCGATCTCTATTAGGGACCTTAAGCATGTACGACGGCAACGCGACGACGACAGCCAAAACAAACTTCTTCAAATAAATTATTGCGAAGAAAAGTTGTTGTGTATTATCCACTGCATGCATGTATATATGAATTGAGTTCAGATTGAAGAGATCAAAACAAAGGCTTTATGACTAAAAACGCTTCTGCTGAGCAAATTTGTAGTTTCACTTGTCGCGTCTTGACATGTTTGCGTTGTACACGAGACGTGAAAATCTCTGGTTTGTCGTTGTAAAAGCCCTAGCACAACGTCTCTAACTCCCGTGGAGGTTTTAATTATTCATTTGTTTTGTATTCTATAGCACAAAAGAAATGAATAATTAAAAGTATAGCAGGAGTTTTAGACGTCGTCCAGGCTCTGTTGACGACGGCAAAATGCATATTTTCACGTCTCGTAGAGCTGTACGCTAACATTTCAAGCCGTGACAGGCAATTTTTTAGCACAGTTCACCAAAATTGCTCTAAAGATTAAAGCTCTGTTTTACTTTTTCGAAACTGTATTAAATTCATACATAGCTGAATACATAATTTTAAGGTGGCTACATACACTTTTTAAAAAATGGAAGATTTGGACAATAATCATTCCTAAAAAACAAAGAGTGTCTGCATGGCTTGGATAAAACAATATTAAACTAAGGAGTTCGGAGTTGTAAAAATTTACTCCTAAAGGCCCATATACAGACCGAACGTGATTCGAAAGGGCGACACGAATTTCAGTCAGTTTTTAAAAACAATTAAAACCGTCAACGGATAAAAATTTTATAAGATATACAGACCAAATAACTAAAATTGCTTAAGCGGTTTCGAATATTTGAAAAACCTAGAAAAATATTAAAGTTAAATGCCATTGAAAATAGTTTCGCATTGCCAAACGCGTCCGGTCTGTATGGACCGCCTACAGCCAGGAGAGAGTCTGCCCGCGACCTTCGTTAGTTGGTTACCTATGTAACCTGTTCAATGGAACACGCAATTGAAACACTCATCGAACCTTTATTTTGTTTAATCTAGAGCTTGAAATGTCTCCTGTAACAATTCGTCACTGCTAACTCACATCATATTAGCTCATCCTCGTTGATCAAGGCATAATGAAGATCCGAGCTTGCGAATAGCAACCTTCACATATGACAATCCTATGGGTTCATTTTACAAAATGTTAGACTGCAGTGCGGGCAGTTCACGGAGAAAAATGGAAAAACCACATCAGCATTCACATGAAACGCTTTCCGTCGAAGACTAAACCTCGACGTAGCAACCAAATACCTTCCTCCAGGCAAAATTTCCAAAGATTTTTTCCCCATATCAAGATTCAAAAAAACATTGGCAATTTTTTTCGCCGATCCAGAGTAAACCCATTTCTTCGTAACTTCATGTACGATACTGGCTTCAGAATAATCATCGCCAGCTTCGATGACACCAACTTCAAATGTTGGGCCCTCTGGATCTGGGAAACACTCTTCTGCGTCTTGCATTGCATGGCTGACTTCGACTTTCCAGTGATGTGCGCCTGAAATCGAGAGTTTATATTTCTAACATGAATAGGTCATGTGATCCTACTTCCCTTAAAACTAGCCTGCGAATTGAGAGCCTGTTCGCAGGCTACCTTAAAACAAGCATCTGTGTCAAAATGAACAGCAGGAATAATATCAGAAAAATTGCAAAGTTTCACCTTTTAATATACAGTGTGGAAGAAATGGTACACAATTAAAATTGAACATTTTCTTGAGATTTGTTAGGGAAAATGCTGGATGGTAAATTTCTGCAGCTAAGGCAACAATTCCAGTCGAACGAGGATGAGAGTTGATTAAAGTTGAATGCAACTCTCGCTTGTCAACTCCATCAATTCTCATCGTTTTTCCAGGACTTTGTTGAAAGGAGAAACTTAAATAACATAAACCAGCATTTCAAAAGATGGGATGTGTGCGCTCCCGCCTTGACGAATAAAATCGTCTGGCATCAGACAGAGTAAAATAAGACGATTTTTATGACCATCGTCATCGAAAAATAGAAGTAATCCTACTTTTCTACTGATCCTACTCTTAGACGATCGCTCTTCGAACATTTTTTTTCCAATTTCGCACGTGTCGTCGCGAACTGTTTTGACAATCGTCTCAGGAATCGGCTGGTGAAGATCCGCCTTCAGTAGCGTAGCCATTCTGACGATTTAGTCCGGCTATGCAAATATTTTCGTGTTCATTGACCGTGTGAAAACAATCAATTTCTGAAGAAATGAATAATGATAATTGAATTTTGAATTTGCATACCGGGACTGAAAATTGCCGGGCTGGCTTAATCAGACACATCGGGAAGATAGTATGATTAACCCATTCAGCGCCAGCCAGGGCCGTACACATGCAGAGGGGGGCAAAGGGTGCAACTGCCCCCTAGAGAAAACTATATTTACGATTTTTAGAATGTCATTATTAATTATTCTTTGGATACTTTCGGTATATAGGCCTTACCCCCCCCCCCCCTAGTGAAAAGATCATGCTTAAGGATCCCCCTGGCCCCTTGATGAGTAAAATCATCTGGCGTTAAACAGAGTGAAATAATAAAGTGGCTGTTTTTTTCGAAATAAAATACTGAATTTTTGGCCAAGGGTGAGTAAATGTACGATTGTTTTGGTTTGTGTATTATGTTGTGACGGCATTCAAACCCCCTGTTGAAAAGATTATTTTGCAAAGATTTTAAAGCTGTTTGTAGTTTTAAAGGGGGTATATACCCGCTGAGATATTTACATTAGAAACAATTAAATCGTAAATGGCAAATCGAAAGAGTTTATGTTGTTTTAATGGGTTAAAATTTTCACAATACCTGACGTCATAGGTGTATCCCCCAACCTGAAACAATACTTCCCCACGTCACCCTCTCCTGACATGCAGTTGACCATCTGTCCATTCATTCGTAAATTCCCACTGCCATGAACATCGCTTAGCTCCCATTTCACTTCTGTTTTAAGAGAACAACCTGGAGCCACACGGCCATTGACCTTTGCTTCAAACTGGAGTGTCCCTAGCTCATTTACCACAAATGAAATTTCATAGGTGCCATCTTGGTTCTCCGATATTTGGGTATCTTGTAACTGCACACCAGTGAAGGTTGGCTGAATTCGATCATTCCCACAACCCGAGCTTATAATACGACCGTCCTTGTCCTTGCATGTTATAACAATGACCGATTTCTTGCCGACTTTAAGCGTGGGATCTGGAAACTTCGCTTCGCACTTTTCAGGACAGACATCTATCTCTTCGAGGCAAACTTTTGTGGTTAACTGACGACAAATCTCACTCGAAGATTCGGTTTTCAAAAATCGAACCGGATTTCCAATGTTAGGGGTGATTTTGTCTTGAACATTCCTTAGATTACCAAGGTACCATGTTATGGTTGGCTTTATGTCCAAAAGTTGAACGTCGTTTCCATTTTCAAGGGTGTGCCTTGCAAAATTGACGCCATTTTGACACGTGGATAGGGCGAGGTCCAAAACCTTCTTCGATGCTTCGACGTCACTCTTTTGGGATTCCGCAGCCGATGCGGTTACTGCTAGCATGTTTTGCTTTTCGACGTCGATTTGCTCATGTAATTCTGTGAAAAAATTTTCAATCTGGGACTTGCACGCCTCTTCTCTGGCAGTTATATCTTGGCTTTTTGCTTCTACTAACTTGATTCCTACCGAGATTGTTTCCACTCTTTCTTCAACCTTTTCAATAAGATTCTGAACTTCTTCTTTTGCCTTCGTAGAGCTTACTTCCAGCGAAAGGAGGTTGTGTTGTTTGTGGTCAAGGATAGTACAAGACACACAAGTCGTTTCCTTACACGTGTCGCAGTAAAATTTAATGAGTTCGTTATGTTTACTACACTTTACAGCCCTCGCGTTCTCCGCCGGTTCGTTGCTTTTCAACTCGTCTTTCGATAATAGAACGTGGTTCTTGGTATCGCGTGATCGTTGGTGAGACTCGGCACATGGAGCGCACAAGAATTGGAAGCAATCTTTGCAGCGTTTTTCCACAGGCTGCTCTGCTTCTTCGTAGTTGTCGCATAACAAAGCTGGAGCATCGTCGTTGTCGTCCAAACTCAGTGTCGCTAAAACGTTGTTGGCGAAGAAATTTGTTGGCAGGATAGAAAGGTCAGGCGGATTACCAACCTGTTAAAATGAGTCGATGTTATAGTGACTTGTCGACAATGTGGGAAAAGAGAACGCGAATATCTACAATAAGCTTCGGTGCTTTGTGTTTGAACTATCTGAAGATTTCTCAAACGTGGGGTCCAGTAAAGGTAGTATTCTACAATAAGCTGCTGTGGTTTGTGTTTGAACTACGGTACCTGAAGAAGATATTGTCGAGTAACTTAGTGCGATTTAAGTCACGCGCTGGTTGTTGCCTCACGATTCAAAACACTTCACACGTGGGACTGTATATTTGGGATATATTTATTAAGTACAGATATTTACACTTGTTTAGTGCGCATCGTTTTACAATGATGTAACCTACTTACAATTACCCAACACGATTCTCAACTTTCAATTTGCGATTCAAACTAACACACACATAACACGTTCAACACGACAATAACCAATCCAATACTACACTTTTTAGCCTATATTTATACTAACAGAACAGAAATACATTTTTCCTCTACCACAAATTTCTCTTACGTAAATGGAACACGTTTACTGCTATTTTGTTCTCTTTTTGTGGTTCATCAATCCAATTTTGATCTACCACACCATCCCAAGTCATGTCCGTGACATTCTAATGTGGGATTGGGTGTTCCATTACGAAGCAATTTTATGCCCTATCACGTTTAATGATACAAATAATGTTTTCTATATATATATATATATATATATAATATTTTTAACACAGGACAAATAAACATTACACACAGAATGCATAACTGACATCCTGCGACAGATATCTCAAACGTGGTGGTCCAGTGTAGGTAGTATTCTACAACAAGCTGCCATGGTTTGCGTCTTAACTACCCTAAAAACTAACTCAAATGCAGTGGTGGTCCTGCAGTTTAACTAGTCTTCTACAATAAACTGCCTGGCATGGTTTGTGTTTAAACTGTACTGCCCCCCCTCCCCACACACACACACTACGGCCCTGACCGAAACACACCATGCAATGGCTATAATAGAATTCAGAAAATGATCTCACCTCCACTGGAGCACGACATTCTGGGCACTCCAAGCCACATTCACGCTGGGAAAGTTTCACGATACATTCATAACAATATGAATGAAGACACGGGAATACTTTGGGGTTGTTTAGCAATTCATGACACACAGCACATGTGACTAGTTCTTCCAATTTTTCTGATAGAGATAGGTTTGTCATCTGTCTTGATAGCGGCATTCTTTACTACAGAAAATACAAAAATACTTTTAACACCTTGACTCAGGCTTTGTATTTATTTTTCCCATTGATAACAATTGGCTGGCTATAATAAGTGTGAAGGTACATTGTGTTCAACATATTTGTGTTCAGCTGCTTTGGGCAATCAATCCTTATTAGGCTATATACAGCTAATTTAAAAAAGGTTGTCCTGTGCAAACCTATAAACTCTAAACCTTAAATTCTAAGCGCGCAAAGCATAATGAGAGCATCATTTCATCACTTTAGAAATCATATATGGGGACATTTCTTAGAGACATGGTAAGTATATCCTTACGAGAACAATTCAAGCCGGTTACAGACGAGCCGAGCAAGTAAATCCGAGTGAAATAAATCCGACTGAAGGAAAATCCAATGACTTTTCTGAGGATAGAATCTCAGGGTCGGAGACCTCGGGATGCCACTTAAGGGCGGATCCAGCTCGTAGGCTGACTGATACCCAAGACCTCGCATTTGTAGGGGGTCCGGGGGTATCCTCCCCCGTTGAAATTTTGAAATCCAGGACCTCGGAAATGCGATCGATTTCCTGCGTTCTGAGCGAACTCTTTTGTTCCAATTCATACATCAGAGTCACAAAAGTATTTGCTGCATTTTTAAAAAGACACGCAAAAAACTTGAAGCTATATCGCAAAAACAACATAATATCTCCATATAAGAAAGATTTAGCTTGTACAAGTGTAATAGCAGCAGTGGCAATAGGTCTATATTTCAAAATAATCGGTACTGTGCTTCTTCTATAGTCTTAACTTTTCTAGGTAAATTGAAAAAACATTCCAGCAGAAAATCACTACAACGCAAATACACACATATTGTGTAACAAAGGTGATGGACTCAGAAGACAGTGTTATTATACTATTTATGAACCACCTTTCCTTTATGAACCACCTTCCCCTATTAATTTCCAATAATTTCCCATGTTCGATGAGTAAAAATAAAATATGGTGTATAAAGGTATTTAGTGCTTATGCTTAAATGTGTTTACAAAGCTATTTATTTTGACAACGTTAACTGGCCTGTTTATTTAAAACTGCAAATAGTACAGCCTGTAATTAGAAATCGTAGATCTACTATAGCTCCTAGGTTAGTTACGCCATTGACCACAAATACATTTCAACTGATTCGGTTTCGAAGATATTCAATTAATTCTTTGCCAGCTGAGATATGGAACTGTTTGGACTACAAACATTATTGCGCTCTCTGTAAAAACTTCCTTCAAGAGCGTGCTGTCTCTTCATTGTAAATATTTTAATCATAAAGAGGCTGTGTTACAGCGAAATCGATTTATTTTACCGCCAACTTTGTAATTTAAAAAAAATGTTTTTATTTGTATATAACATGATTTTAATCAATTAATTATTTAAGGTATGTCGAAATTAGAGAAATATAGACGATATGTCTTCGAAAAGCATAAAACCCCTACATATTACCCCCTGAATATACTGAAAAGCCGCCTTCAAATTGTTTCTTATTAGTAATAAATGATATTATGATTAAAAGAGGAGTATTTTTATATAACACTAAATCAGGTTTCCATTTGGTATGGGCAATTGTAACCATGTCAAGATAGCTAATGTAATAATACATTGTCAATTTATCTCCGCAATCAGTGAAGACTGATTTACATACAGCACACAAAAGACAATTAGATAAATCCAGACTATTTCACATCAGTGACCATGATTTAGTCGCAACATTTACAACCAAATGATACCAGGCCTATTAAGCAAATTCCTTCAAATTTAATTGCAACCCCCTCTCCATTTTCTTGAAAAAATTTAATAGCCCCCCTTCTAGTCATTTATTTATACATATGCCCCCCCCATTTTTCTCCATAAAAAATCAGGGTCATGATTTTTCAAAGACCATCAAATAAACAATTCCACCCACCCAAATTCACCGCAAACGCTCCAAGTGGCACATGAGGCTAGTAAAATTACCTAGGGCTTAAACAAACTTGGCAAGCATTCAAAATTATGATCACAGTGGTAAGGTCTCCAAGTAATATGTATTAAGGCCTAACAATATACATAATTCGTGCAGTACAGAACGCAATACTGTATAATGTATAGTTAAAACTTACAGCATTAGACTATAGAAAATTCTGTTCTAGAGGGGCTGAGCCCCCCCCCCATAAGATTTCTTGAGGGGTTCGAACCCCTCAGCCCCCTGCCTCCCAATACTCTACACCTATGAGACTACCTCACAGAAATAAAAAAACAACCACAACGAACAACGCTTAGAAAATTTCGTATGCTACCAAAACATTGCTCGTGAGGAATAAATTTGCGAATTTTGTGAATCTGATGAAGTTGAAGACGAATACCATTTCGTCCTTTCATGTAAAAATAATGCTCACATTAGAGAATTATAAATATTTTCATTAAAAAAATACGAAGAGATTTTGCGTTGAACCAGGGTTTATTTTAACGTGCAGTTCTACACAAAATGTGCAGTTTTAAACCCATTTGTGCAGTTCTTAAAACACAAATGTGCAGTCACCGGTCAAACTAACAAAATAGCCTTAATTAAAACAGTCTTTTGATTTACTTGTTACCCTTGTGGATGCCCCAGAAAATTCCAGAAATGCTGTCATTAATTGAGAATCAAAAATATAACCGTTTTCTGGGGGAGGACTCCAGACCCTCCTATTTTCCCCACAAATCTCTTACGTGCTGGGGTAATGGAAAAGAAGGTAAAATTGGGGCGAACGAAGCTACCCAAAAGAAATTAGAGTGGGAGAACCTAATATCCTTTGCTGCCTCAAATGCAAATTTAAGGTTGTTATATATTGAATATCCATGATTCCAAGTTACATGTTTTGAAACAGTTTTTGTGAGTGATTGGATAAAGCAAATCTTTGCTAAAACTTAAGAGCCTCTAGATTCAAATTGTTTTGGGGAACACCCCCTAGCTCCCGCACCCAAAATCGAGTTTGTCTGGCCTTTCTCCCACCTAACCACACCATTACTCTGTCACCTATATGCAGGCAAAAAATCCTTCGACCCCCCCCCCAGTCAAACACCCGTTGCCTTCGTAACATCCCTATATGTGCAGTTCTAAATTTTTCTTAAAATAAACCCTGCGTTGAACCTAGAATGCCATGATGATATTTTATTCTTTATATCATCTAGTGATTCTATACTGCAGAATGAATTTTCAAAATTCATTCATAGTTGCTTCATAAGACGAAATGAATGCCTTGAAGCAAGAAACTCTAAAACATCACCGACAGGATGATATATCTTCAATACATTATAAATAAATAATTCAAAACTTGTACAGTAGATAAAACTTTATTTTGCATATCTTAACTGTTAATGTAAAATGCTTCAGCAATTCTATGATCAATAGTACGCGAAACAAAACAATAATCCCATGCATGCCATGGCCATCACATAATTTATTATTCTGAAAGGTTTTTAATTTATAAATCAGTTTGCATGTTTCACTGCGTCCAATGGACCAATCCCACATCAACCAAAATTTTCAACTCAACAAGTCTAGGCAAAACTTTCATCACAGCTTGAAAGAGAATCGCAAAATTAGTAATATTCTTAGGTTTCGTTGCAAAATGTTGTAAAATGCGGATAATATAGCCTTGCGAAGTTTGCAATTTTCAGTCATTTTAGATTACAAACAGGAAATGGACCACTTCTTGTGCGTAATACAAAATGACTGAAAATTACAAACTTTGCAAGGCTATATTATCCACATTTTACAACTTTTCCCAACGAAACTTTGGAATATTACTAATTTTATGATGCTCTTTCAAGCTGTGATGAAATTTTTGTTTAGGCTAGTTGAGATCAAAATTTTGGAAAATATAGGTGGTAACCGTTTCCCGCTCGTAATCTAAAATGACTGAAAATTGCAAATTTCGCAAGGCTATATTATCCGCATTTTACAACATTTCACAACGAAACTTTGTGATTCTCTTTCATGCCATGGTGGAATTTTGTTTAGACTTGTTGAGATCAAAATTTTGATTAATTAATATGGGATTGGTCCATATGCTTTACATGTATACACCACATGGCACATATTTGATAAATCAAGCTCACAATCCCAAGACGTAGTAGAGTGGGCTAGCCTAGGAGTTCAATTTGCCGTTTCAGTAAAGCGTTGTGGGGACATTGCATGATGGTCAACTATAGAAATGTTACATTTTTAGAACTGAAACTAAGCAATTCAATTCATTTACATTCCGAGAACATGTCCTCAAATGCATTATGAAAGAATAATCACATGCACTTTTAACTTTTTGCTGTCTCGTCTGCCGCATAGCGCTTTGATTAAAACCCGCCAAAATGGTATTATGTTATAGAACTGTGGTTATAGGTATGCCATAGGCTAGCTGTTTAACTAACACGCCTATAATGTGGCAGTAGTGAAACGCCAACTGTGTTTCATATATTTGAGTTCGATATTGAATGCCATTTTCCAAACGAAAATGTGAATTCGTTTTTAATTGATGTTATCACCTACCAGCTTGCTGCCTGAATACGTTTCCTCAGCCGTGCTACTCGTAATCAAATGACCGCTTCGAGTCTTTCCAAATATGTCAAATATAACATTCTGAAAACAGCTGACATACGGCTTATTGACCGAACTGCCGACTTCATTTGAAAACTACTATACGTTTAACCGTGACGTAACCAATCAGTAGACCAGAACAAATTTAGCATAAGTTCTTTGTAGGTTAATTTGCATGGCGATAAAACACATAATACTTTTTATGCCTTCCGTCTCAACATAGCCTATCGAAGGGAAGATGGCAGTGAAACTATTAGAATAACAACATAACTCATTATCTATACTAGTCAACGTTTATTCATAAATCTGGTCCTTCACTATCACGTGTGTATTGTATTCAACCACTAGCATTGGTTTAGGAAAGTTACCTATCCCGCGTGACGCATAGGAAAATTGGAAATTGCTATTGGTGGATTTGGCAAAAATACAATACACACATGACGTTGAAGGACCATATTTATGAATAAACGTTGCTAACATAGATAATGAGTTATATTGTTATTCTAATGAGTTTCACTGCAGCCATCTTCCGGCTATCTTTAAAACAGGGAATGGGGAATCCGGGAATGGGGGAATCCGGGAATGTATTGAATTGTATAACAATTTATATAAAGAGTGTACAAATAAGGTAATCAACTTTAGCGTGCTTTTTAGATTCCCCATTATAGACTAGCTAAATTTTGTTCTAGGCAAGGAGAAAGGGAGTCAGCTAGAAAGAACATAATAAGATTAGTAAAATTGCAAAGTTTGGTTGCAAAATATTGTAAAATAGGGAAAATATAGCCATGTATACGAGCGCAATTTCGGCTGCCACATTTTTTTTCGTAAAATAAAAGTATACAAAATTTGCAAACTTTAAAAGGCTATATTTTCCATATTTCACAATATTTTCGCAACCAAACTTTGCAATTTTACTAATCTTATTATGTTCTTTCTAGCTAACTCCCTTCTCCTTGCCTAGAAAAAAATAGCTGGTCTATAAGGGAAGCCTCACATATCGATTTTTTCCACGAGAAACGTCATATGTTCGTTTGGGGTGGGGGGGTTGGCAGCTGTGACGTTTCTCTGTAAACATCATGGAAAAATTCGATAGTTTTTATCTTTGCAGAATATAAAAAAGAAAATAATTTGATACAAACAGCAGTCTATACATTCGTAATACCATACCTGTTCTATACCTATGCATTTATATTATTACGGCTTCCTTGCATTGTAAACACTCAAATTTCAAGAAAGGCGCGCTAAAATTATCAATATTTCAATTTCATGCAAAAAAGTTGTTTTGAGAAACGTTGGAAATTTTGAAGTTCATATTTATAATAAAAAAAGAGTATGTCATATCACAGGGGGTCCAACTAAGAGCTGTGTTATGAATATGAATAAAACATTAATTAAACGTAATATGAATAAAACATTATAACGTAATATATTTAAATTATTGCACTTACTTGTATAAATCATAAGAGCTTGCCTTTGCACTGAATAGTTTCAAACAGAGCGCTTTATATATATACTCAGAATGATTGCTTCGAAAGATTGTTCAAATATGGCGAATAAATTGACAAAACGAAAATATTACATGACGTTCCAACGAAAATAACAGCAGGGATTGCGGGCGCGAGCGGAAGGCGAGGGCAATAGATATTAATAGAAGGTATGAAACACCGGTAATGCGATCGTGTGATGTGTTCCATAAGTAGCCTGTTCTCTCGGAAAATTCCAAAACTCCTCCTGCCAACTCCAACAACGCCTAAGCGCTTAATTAATGAAAATAAACAATGTTTAGCTATACCGGCTAATATGAAATATTTAAATGTAGCGACCAACGTTTTTTTTTACATTATTTAGATTTATTATTATTTCGTCATACGTCACGAGAACAGGCTACTTATGGAACACATCTCGCGAAAATGGCCAAGAATGCTCGCTGTTATAAATCACATAAATTAGATTGATCAGTGCTTTTTTGGTAATGACTAGGCTTGTTCATGTAAGAGAGCATCGACTGAGCCTTAAAAAACCCACAAAAAGCTTAAACGGATAGTCTAGAAGCATTTTAAAAAGTCACGTGATATTTGTTTCATCCCTTTTATTTATTTCTTCCCTCGCCTTTTCGCTCGCGCGCCCGCAATCCCTGCTGTTATTTTCGTTGGAACGTCATGTAATATTTTCGTTTTGTCAATTTATTCGCCATATTTGAACAAAGACCAACAATCGTTCGAAGCAATCATTCTGAGCATGTATAAGCGCTCTGTTTGAAACTATTCAGTGCAAAAGCAAGCTCTTATGATTTATACAAGTAAGTGCAATAATTTAAATATATTACGTTTAATGTTTTATTCATATTACTTTTAATTAATGTTTTATTCATATTCATAACACAGTTCTTAGTTGGACCCCCTGTGGTCATATTCCTCGCGGAAGCATCGCCAATAGCCGACCGAAAAAATGTATATAGAAAATTACCTTATTCATGTGTACTATAAGAACAAAATATCGATAAAATGTGTGACGTTTCTAAGGGGGGGGGGGGGGGGGGGGGTCTCCAGAGAAACGAACATATGACGTTTCTCATGGACAAAATCAATATGTGAGGCTTCCCTAATGGGGAATCTAAAAAGCACACTAAAGTTGATTACCTTTCAGTGTACACTCTTCAAAATTGTTATACAATTCAATATATTCCCGGATTCCCCATTCCCTGTTTAACGCTGTTTTAAAGATAGCCGCATCTTCCCTTCGATAGGCTATGCCTATGGTCAGGCAAAGAACGATTTTACGCTATAAAGCAATAAAAAGTAAATGGGGTTGTTGTTTTATAACTAGGATGCGTTCCTGTGTCATATGATAGAAAATATGACACACAGAAATCGAACGAATATTATGCCAAGGGCCGGCAAGGAAAGTCGGCCTTGCCGTTCCCACATACGTATTATCGGCTTGAGTGTTGCATCTCCTGAACTATTCTACTAAATAGAACATTGTAAATAATTCATCTCGTTGTTGCATGGGTTAATCTGGCTGATCTGGCTGGGGTAAAGATTCCCCCAGCCGCTTTATTTTAACTTTCGAAATACAGTAATACGTAGGATATGTAAAAGCTAGAATTAAAACTACAATACATAATATATTATACTATGGATGACCATGGATGCAGACATGGGGATGGGGTGGATTATCAAGTTTTTTACCTTCTTTATAGTCTCCACTAGGTGATGTTCCCTTGACGATAAACTGTATGTGAATGCTTAGAACTTAGCATAGGGGTATCTAAACGAGTCTGTTCAAGATATACCTTAGGTATTTCCTCTCTGAGTCTCTGTCAGCTTAATACACCACTGAAGGCATAGAAAAGCTTTCGATCCGTGACCCGGATCTTCATCAGTGCTAATAAATTAATAATACGTATTATTATAAGAGAAGTACAATACAGCACAGCACGAGATCAAGGATATATTCAATATGTTTTATCTATATTGTTTTGAAATTATACAGTTTTAATTTATAGAGCGTTTGCACAGGACGTCACAGCCGCTATGTTGGTATCCCAATTTAAAAGAATTTTAATTAGATTCTTTTGTCTGGAACACCGAAGGAGGAAGTGATTATTTCGCTGGCCTCAGAGTGACAAAACGTAACAAAGCAACGGTTTTACTAACACTAACCCTACTCCAAACACTAACTCTAACCCTAACAGCCTTCCAATGTATAACCTAATGATATAACAGTATGCTGATTACCCTGAAACACCCTATCAGCCTTGTTGATCATAGTGTTACACAGTATATGTCGTCTCCACAGTAAATTCTTCTTTAAAAAGGTTACAAAGTAAACAAGTAAGTATAAGTACTGTAGGTAAGTGCGGTGTGCTACTCATCCTTACAGCTGAGAGATAAGGCCTAAGCTGAATTACGAAGGACACAGCTCGACCTGATCGAGTCGAAGGCTTTCTAAAGGCGGTTTTCCACTAGACGAAATTTTGATCGAACCGAAATTTCTATTGTTCAAATTCAAAAGATTTCTGTTTAGTTCCATCTGAGTGCTTGAAAGACAAAAGAAAATTTCGATTCGGTTGAAACATTTCGCCTAGTGGCTGCCTAGCTCTGGTACCTCAAACCAGGATGAGAGTGCATGGGAGTTGGAAGTCCTGCGACCTTCGTTAGTTGGTTACCTATGTAACTTGTTCTTAATGCTTTCGCAAAACGTAATAGGAACATTCATCAAACCTTTATTTTGTTTAATCTAGAGCTTGAAATGTCTCCTGTAACAATTCGTGGCTGCCAACTCTCATTCTCTTTCGCTGAGGCGTAATGAAGATCCGAGCTTACGAATAGAAAGCTTCGCATATAAAACATTAAAAAGCCTTACTGCAAGTTGACAATCCTATGAGTTCATTTTACAAAATGTTAGACTGCAGTGCGGACAGTATGAATAGAAAGCTTCGCATATAAAAGGCCTTATACTGCAAGTTGACAATCCTATGAGTTCACTTTACAAAATGTTGGACTGTAGTGCGGACAGTACGAATACAAAGCTTCGCATATAAAAGGCCTTTTAATTACTGCAAGTTGACAATCCTATGAGTTCATTTTACAAAATGTTAGACTGCAGTGCGGGCAGTTCACGGAAAAAAATGGAAACACCACATCAGTCTTCATACGAAACACTCTCCGTCGAAGACTAAACTTCGACGTAGCAACCAAAAATTTTCCTCCAGGCAAAATTTCCAAAGATTTTTGCACCATATCAAGATTCAAAAAGACATTGGTAATCCTCTTCGCCGGCCCTGAGTAAACCCATTTCTTCGTAACTTCATGCACGATACTGGCTTTGGAATAATCATCGTCAGCTTCGATGACACCAACTTCAAATGTTGGGCCCTCTGGATCTTGGAAACACTCTTCTGCGTCTTGTACTGCATGGCTGACTTCGACTTTCCATCGATGCGCCCCTGAAATCGAGAGTTTAGATTTCTAACATGAATTGGTGATGTGATTCTATTTTCCTTGAAACAAGCAGCTGTGTCGAAATGAAACACAGGAATAAAAAGAACACCCCAATATCAGAAAAAGTGCAAAGTTTCACCTTTTAATATGCAATGTCGAAGAAATGGTACACATGCAATTTGATTAAATTGAGTATTTTCTTGAGATTTGTTTGAGAAAATGCGGGATGGTAAATTTCTGCAGCTGGGGCAACTTTCCACAGAGAGACTCAACTGATGATTTCTAACATGTCACCACAATTTGCAAGTTAAAGTTGTATGCGAACTCTCTGGATAACATAAACCAGCATCTCAAAAAATGGGATATGTGCGCCAGCACTCCCGCTTTGACGAATAAAATAGTCTGGCATCAGACAGAGTAAAATAATAAAGCAGGGCAGGGCGCATTATGGCGCCATGTAACTTAACGGTTTAATCAGACACATCGGGAAGATCGATAGTTTGATTAACCCATTGAGCGCCAGCGACTCTCCTTAAATTGATGAGTAAAATGATCTGGCGTTAGACAGAGTGAAATAATAAAGTAGCTGTTTTTCTCGAAATGAAATACAAAATGTTTGGCCAAGGGTGAGTATTTAAATGTACGATTGTTTTGGTTTGTGTAATATATGTTGTGACGGCATTCAAATCCCCCGTTGAAAAGACATTTTGCGAGGATTTCAAAGTTGTTTTTCGTTTTAAATGGGGGTATATACTCGCCGAGATATTTACATTAGAAAAAAACAATTGAATCGTAAAATAGCAAATCGGGACAGGACGAGAAAGAATTAATGTTATTTTAATGGGTTAAATTTTTCACAATACCTGACGTCATAGGTGTATCCCCCAACCTGAAACAATACTTCCCCACATTACCCTCTCCTGACATGCAGTTGACCATCTCTCCATTCATTCGTAAATATCCACTGCCACGAGCAGCGCTTAGCTCCCAATCCACTTCTGCTTCAAGAAAACAACCTGGGGCCACACGGCCATTGACCTTTGCTTCAAACTGGAACGTCCCTAGTTCATTTACCACAAATGAAATCTCATGGGTGCCATCTTGCTTCTCCGATATTTCGGCATCTTGTACCTGCACACCACCGAAGCTCGCCTGAATTAGATCTTTCCCACAACTCGAGCTTATAATACGACCGTCCTTGTCCTTGCATGTTATAACAATCACCGATTTCTTGCCGACTTTAAGCGTGAGATCTGGAAACTTTGCTTCGCACTTTAAAGAACAGACAGCTACCTCTTCGACAGAACAAACGTTTGCGGTTAACTGACGACAAAGCTGACTCGAAGATTCGCTTTTCAAAAATCGAACCGGATTTCCAATGTTAGGGGTGATTTCGTCTTGAACATTCCTTAAATTACCAAGGTACAATGTTATGGTTGGCTTTATGTTCAAAAGTTGAACGTCGTTTCCATTTTGAAGGGTGTGCTTTGCAAAATTCACACCATTTTGACACGTGGATAGAGCGAGGTCCAAAACCTTCTTCGATGCTTCGACTTCACTCTTTTGGGATTCCGAAGCCGATGCGGTTACTGCCAGCATGTTTTCCTTTTCGGCATCGATTTGCTCATGTAACTGTGTGAAAAACGTTTCAATCTGGGACTTGCACGCCTCTTCTCTGGCAGTTATATCTTGGCTTTTTGCTTCTACTAACTCGATTCCTGCCGAGATTGTTTCCACCCTTTCTTCAACCTTTTCAATAAGATTCTGAACTTCTTCTTTTGCCTTCGTAGAGCTTACTTCCAGCGAAAGGAGGTTGTGTTGTTTGTGTTCAAGGATAGTACAAGACACACAAGTCGTTTCCTTACACGTGTCGCAGTAATATTTAATGAGTTCATGATGTTTACTACACTTCACAGCCCTCGCGTTCTCTGCTGGTTCGTTGTTTTTCAACTCGTCTTTCGACTGTAGAACATGGTTCTTCGTATCGCATGATCGTTGGTGAGACTCGGCACATGGGGCGCACAGGAATTGCAAGCAATCTTTGCAGCGTTTTTCCACAGGCTTCTCTGCATCTTCGCAGTTGTCGCACAACAAAGCTGGAGCATCGTCGTTGTCGTCCAAACTCAATGTCGCCAAAACATTGTTGGCGAAGAAATTTGTTGGCAGGACGGAAAGATCAGGTGGATAACCAACCTGTTAAAATGAATCAATGATATGACTTGTCGACAAGGTGGGATTAATAGAACGTGCGAATATCTACAATAAGCTGCCGTGCTTCGTGTCTGAACTACCTGAAGATTTCTCAAGCGTGGGATCCATTGTACAATAAATAAGCTGCCATGGTTTGTGTCTTAACTACCTGAAGAAGATATCTCAAACGTGGAGGTTAAGTGTACGCAGTATTCTACAATAAGCTGCTGTGGTTTGTGTCTTAACTACCTGAAGAAGATAGCTCAAACGTGTGGTCCAGTGTAACAATAAGCTGCCGCGGTTTGTGTCTTAACTATCTGAAGAAGATATCTCAAACGTGGAGTCCAGTGTAGGTAGCATTCTACAATAAGCTGCCATGGTTTATGTCCTAACTACCTGAAAAAGATATTTCAAACGTGCGGTCCAGTGTAGGTACTGTATTCTACAATAAGCTGCCATGTTTTGTGTCTTAACTACCTGAAAAAGATATCTCAAACGTGTGGTCCAGTGTAACAATAAGCTGCCATGGTTTGTGTCTTAACTATCTGAAGAAGATATCTCAAACGTGGGGTCCAGTCTAGGTAGCATTCTACAATAAGCTGCCATGGTTTATGTTCTAACTACCTGAAAAAGATATCTCAAACGTGGGGTCCAGTGAAGGTAGTATTGTACAATAAGCTGCTCCCACTTCGCCCACCTCCACGTACACACTAAGGCTCTGACGGAAACACACCACGCAATGGCTATAATCGAATTCAGAAAATGATCTCACCTCCACTGGAGCACGACATTCTGGGCATTCTAAGCCACATTCACGTTTGGAAAGTTTCACGATACATTCATAACAATACGAATGAAGACACGGAAATACTTTGGGGTTGTTTAGCAACTCATGACACACAGCACACGTGACTAGTACTTCCAATTTTTCTGATAGAGATAGGTTTGTATTCTGTCTTGAAAGCGGCATTCTTTACTACAGAAAATAGAAAAATAATTTTAACACCTTGACTCTAATTTGTATTTATTTTTCCCATTGATACCAACTGGCTGGCTATAACAAGTGTAGCAATAATTTGCGGCTGTTTTATCAGGCTATAATAAGTGCGAAGGTACATGGTGTTCAGCGCATCAACAGGGTTTACATTTATAAGAGACGCCACCAACTGTTGCATGGTTCGGTCCTTATTAAAACCCACCAACGTGCGCACAGCTTCTTGCCCAGTGTAAAGGAATCTGGAATCCAACAAAATTTGCGCTTTAAAATCTGGAATCGAAAAAAAAAACGAGTGAAGGAAAGTCCAATGACTTTTCTGAGGATGGAACATAGATATCTTATATATATATAAGATATCTATGGGATGGAATCTCAGACCACGGAATGCCACTGGTACAAACCATGTCTTCTATATCTATGATACAAACACAGTACGCGAAACAATACCCCATGCATATATACTGAAAGGTTTTTGCAGATTTCACTGCGTCCAATATGCTATACATGTTTACACACATATTCGGTAAATTTCGCAATTTGCTGGGACGGTTCAATTTGCTGTTTCAGTATAAGCGTTATGGGGCACAGTTAGATGATGTCCATAGAAATGTTTGCATTTTTAGGAACTGAGCAATTCAATTCATTTGACATTCCGAAAACATGTCCTCAAATGCATTATAAAAGAATAATCACACTTATAGCTGTTTCGTCTGCTGCATGATAGCGCTTAGACCTTAGTAGAACCAGCCAAAATGGTATAGCATGCTATCGTTGGTTAACTAACACGTCTATAACGTAGCAGTGTAAAACGCCAACTGTGTTTTATATATTTGAGTTCGATAGTGGATGCCTTTTTCCAAACGAAAATGTGAACTCCTCTTTAATGTTATATGAGGCTGGGATACACTATACCGGATTGATTTTCATACCGGATCAATTTTCACACCGAAGCCAAAATCAAGGGTGTTTACACTATGCCGCTTCGCTCTGTCGCCAGCTCGTATCTTTTATCGTTGCCACGGAAACAAATAATAAGTTTTGACCATTTTGGACGTTTTCTCGACAGTACTTGTGAATTATAACTTTGTTTACAAAGCTTGACCACCTGACGTTGCTTTGTCTCGCTCTTATCGAAAATTGACGAGTATTTCATTAAATTTTGCCCTTTTGAAAGCAAGAAGTCAATGTTATTACCGCTACCTTTATTTGTCTTCGCTAGAAATAATAAATAATTGTAAAGCGAAGCAAACAACAGCTATAAAATATTTAAAAGCGAGTAAATAAAACGACAATGTTAAAATATACTTGCCGAAACCTATTTATAGTACCGGAGCGTACCGGATTGCCTGATTACACTTGGTTTTATCCGGTACAGCATGTACCGGATTACTTTTCATATCACCTCCAAAGCGAAGTGATTTTCGCGCCGCGGCACGTACCGGATTACAGTGGCGTAGTGTAAACAAGAGGCCAATCCGGTACAGAAATCGCGTCGCTTCGATGCAATCCGGTATAGTGTAATCGGGGCCTTATATGAGTTATACCTACCACTGTACCAGCTTGCTGCCTGCATACGTTTCCCCAGTGCTACTAGTAACCAAATGACCGCTTCAAGCCTTTCCAAATCATGACTTTCTGAAAACAGCTCACATACTTAATTACTTATTGACCGAAAGCACTTCAAAGAATGTTGGCATAGTTTGTATGCATACTCATTTGAAAACTACTATACGTAACCAATAGACCAAAACAAATTTAGCATAGTTAAGATGGCACCATGTCGCGTCGCTACAGTTCTTTCAATCAAAATAATCGCAACTAGATTTTTGTATGTATAACTTGTGAAAAGAAGCACAAGATCAAGGATATATTCAATATGTTTTACCAACATTGTTTGGCTAAGAACAAAAATATAAATTAGAAATTATACAGGTTTAATTAGAAAAACAAAATATATTGATACCAGTATTTGGAATGCGAACAAATATTTCGAACAATATATCGTCTCCAGGCTGGGCCGATTTTGGAGCGGAATATTTTAGGACCAGGCCTTTCTGAACGCTCATAATACATTATACAAATAATGAATGTTTATTCGTGCAATGGTATGAATATTTTGATGAGGTGAAAGATGGAATGTTCCATTCAACGAGGCGACAGCCGAGTTGAATGGAACATTCCATCTTTCATCGAATGAAAATATTCTTACCATTGCACGAATAAAAACATTCATTATTTGTTTTATATAATACCAAAATAGACTGGATGCGATTTATCGAAAACACAAAGAGTGCAATGGAACGTATTCCATTGCACTCAGGAAATGGAATTTTCTATTCAATATCACGTGACCATAAACAGCCAATTAAACGACCAGAATTCAATAAGGTATTATATAAAACTGATTATATGATTTTAAACAATATTGATTTATGGATTGCACTTTTGATTGGTGGATTTCGGACCAAGTTTCTTCTCATACTGGTTAAATTTCGATTATAATTACGATTTCAAGTGTAATTACGGTACTGTAAATTAATCAACAGTAATTTAAAGCTATTATTGGAATATTGCTGTATAAATTAGTGTTAAGCTTAAAAACCAACCATCCTTGGCAGCGCTCACATACACGTACAAATTTTCACACGAACGATTGACTGCGTTATAAATGCCACGAATTCCTACCGCACTTTAGTAAAACGTGTGCCCCCTCTAATTATACAATTATATAGGCCAAGCATTTAAAATACAACACACTCTTCAATTTCACATCATAAGTCTGTGATATACCAGCTTTCTTGTTGTTAATCTTAGCTCGTTTACCAAACTGTTCCTGCCAGTGTCCGACTGGTAAATATACACTCATTGCCGATTTGCTACGTTCAAGGACAGGTGCAACTAAATAGGTATCGCCTAACATAAACTGGGAATCGATCGTCAAGGCAATTGGATCCATAGGTGCAACCCACCATAATGGCCGAATAATGGGCACGCCGGTTATGGTAACATTTCTAAAAGCATCCAGGATCACTGGGCTCAAGTGAGCTCGCAACTCTAACAGAATTTTGACAATGGTTTTAGTCTCTTCATCAAAGCTCCATGGTGCCTTATCAACTTCAAACTGTATTCCAGGAAGAAAGGTATTAACTTGCATCCAACGAATATAGAGCTCTTTGCTCAAGTCACCACGGTGACCGCCAACGACTGACGGCAATATATAAGGATAGCCCATGATGCCATAGGTCAACACGGTCGGAATTAATGTTTTTAATCCGGCCCACGTCGGTTCCTTACTAGTCATTCTTACAAAAATTGGGAGCGTTTGGGTTTTATGTCCGACATGAATGCTCGAACCATTCATGCTGACAGCAAATTTAGCATATTCATATGACAAGCGACCAGGGTCCATGGTTTTGTTGTAAAACTGATAACACGAAGGGAGGTGGGTAACATCCCCTCCATGAAACTCAAACGAATCAGACCCGAGGCTGACCAACATCTTTTTAAACCAAACTTTGCTTGCGTCACTAGTGAGGTCAATGCAAGCGGATAATGAATTACTCCACTTAATCAGTCCAGGGACCTTCCCTCCACAATCTCTTACCAGATAACTCTTCCTTGCTGCCTCAGAAAATTCCTTTGAACTAATTTGGAGGTAGGGGTGAATCTTCATTGACACTTTGCAACCAATTCGCTTTGCAATCTGGCAGGATTTATACGTTCCATTATTTTCACCATACTGACTGTCAATGACAACATAACCACAGTTGAAAGACGAAATATTATCACACAAACTTGCAATACTGTTTTGAGAAGTGTTCTCAGAATAATTTCCAATTACCCACGAGGGTTTCTTAATTAGTGCTTCGTTAGGGATACGACTTGGTTTTCCCAGAAATGTATCAATAACGGTCAAATGCAAGTCTCTGGGGTTATAGCCGGATAAAATTCTATAGCCTAGATAGGAAACTGCGGGCTGGAGGTAGCCATTTATGTCAGATTTTATACACAACTTGCCATCACGGCTTGCATTGATGCTGACGTGCAACGGCACTGACACATCAACTATAATAGCAACACCACGAGAGCTTAGCCAGTAGCGTTCTAACACAGGCCCGAAAGTTTGTGCCGATTTATTTAGGGAGCTGAGAATGCTTTGCGGTACATATTGTCCCATATTAACTTGGACTTTTTCCAGCGGCCATTCTTGCAACAGAAGTTCGCTTCCCCCATACCAGTGAGCGCTCGACAACTTAAAGCAGTCCATAAACACAGTAGGTTCCTTAGATGAACTAGTCCAATTCACAGACAGGATGAATTCTGTTTCTTGTGTCAAAATCAAAGTGACCCCATCGGCGGTGACATACTTAGATCTCGATTTCGACATGCTATGTCGCTCTTCCAAACCTGAGCTCAGTGTTAGGCCGATGTCGGCAGAGAGTACAAATTGACCAGCAGCATTTTTAAAATCGATATGTTTCTCCTTAGGTTTGAACCTCGCTGTGCCTAAATAGGAATACTCGTTGTCCGAAGCGCTCAATTTAAAGGCCAAAATAATGAACGCAATAATAACAAGCCCCAGCACGCCAATAACGACTTGCAAAACGCGTCTTCTCACAAGCGAGCGAGTTTCCCATGCAAATAATGCCCGGTTTCTTTCTTCCGTAGGTCTTATTCCGTCTTCCTTGATAGAGAGCGTATCCGCATCGCGCTCGTTGCCGTAAAAAAGCGTCGCTTCTTCTGTACCTGGCGTTTCACTGCGAGTAAAAGCGACAGCCATTTTGAATACTAATCATGCAATGTTAGGTGGGGGAAGTGAAGAGGGATGGAATGGGGGGGGGGGGGTTAGGGGGAA